CTCTTCTAAATAACTTTCAGGGCAACAAGAGCTCCATTGCCTTCACAAGAAACCTCGTGGGGGACTTCCCTGGTGGTCCTGAGGTTGAGGCTCCATACTTCCAGTGCCGAGGGGTACAGGTTAGATCCTTGGTTGGGGAATTAAGATCCCACACACCATGAGGTGTGGCAAAAAGATAAATAAATAAAAATTAAAAAAAAAAAGAAAAGCCTGGTGGGTCCTTGGAGAAGAGTAATTTGCATTCCATTGATCAAGGGTTTTACACTGGAGATATAAATCCCAACCTGTCTCCCTAGGACATACAACATGATCATCTCTTCTAACTTACAGCTCTTGGCTGATCAGATGTTGCTGGACCAAGGGAGTCAAGGTAAGCTCCTTTAGTGCAGACTGTTTTCTCATCACTCTGCATACAGGCACCTGACATCACAGATAGTAGGTGTTCAATAAATACCCATAAGGATGAAAAAACACCTGGCTTATCAGAAATCACTACTGGGCTTCTTAGGGCCTAGGCCCTTTAAGTACCAGAAAGGGCAGAGCCAAGAATCTGGCCCAACAATTTAAACACCAACCACTGCCACTTCCTCCCTGTGAAAACCAATGGTTCCTCTGGCTTCTGCTGACGTGCACTTGTTCATGTCCTGTTTTGCGAGAGGCTGGGTTTCTAGCTCTCACCTGAGCCCTCACTGCCTGACTTGATATTTCACCCCCTTCTGGCTCTATCTTTCCCCTCCGAGATTCCTGACTGCTGGCAGGGCCCAGACAGAACCAACCCGCTGCCACTCTGACCCTGCACTTGCCACCATCCTTATCTGACTCCCAACTAAGGCTGAATTCTGCTTTGGAGAAATTTGAACGCATCGCCGCCCTAGTGGACAGCCCTACTCACAAACACAGAGGCGCTGGTGCCAACCCTGCTGCCATCTTGGAATTCCGCCATCAGCCGCATGAGCTCCACACAGAAAGCACTGCCCAGCACCCTGCTGCCATCTCCTGGAGGTTGTTGGTCCTCTTCTGCTCCTTGGATCTTTGGGACTGCTCTTCCCAACCAGCTCTAACAAGTTCCTGATATCTTCAATGTGCTACTAGACGTTGTTTTAGTGCAGACCTGGGCCTCCAAGAAAAATGCAGAGAAGTCATTAAAGTAATGAGACGAATGACCAGAAAATGGAGTAAATGCTTGTCTCCTCTTGATATGCTGGAGCTAGGTGGATGAAACTTACCCAAGATCGCTCAAGGGCACATGCATTTGGTGTGTGAAAATCTTTCAAAGTTTGAAAGTGATGTCGTCAGGCACGGTGAAATACTTAGAGCCTCCCTTGGGCATCCTTTGTCACGGTTTTCTTGGAAAAAATATCAAAAGATCCTCTAGTGTCTCCTTCATTTTCAGTAAGTAAATGGTAATCTTTGTTTTTCCAACTGAAAAAAATTGAGACCGTTTTATTCAGCTTGACACCAAAGCTATTTTAGTTTATAAGCATTAGACATATGGAATACTTGAGCTAAAACCAAAGATATTCATAAAATTCATTAAAAAAGAGTTCTGATGATTTTCCCATATCTAAGTTCCCCCAAAAGTCAGCATAGAAGCAGTGGTAGAGGAAAAGAGAAAACAGTTGACCTGGCATAATATACCTGTGTGTATGTGTGTATATATATATAACACACATATAGATATACACACACATATATATATAACAGTATATAAATTTGATATACCCTACCAGATAGGGGTAGAAATTAATGTAGAAATTTCTGACAGGCAATTTGGTCACAGATATTAAGATGTTTTAAAATCAATGATTCACTAATAAACCTCTATCCTGAATAAAAATAACTAGAAAGTCAAAGATTCCTGAATTAAAAGTTCATTATGACTTTGTATATGAGAGTGCTCGATTGAAAACAAACTAAATGCACAACAATAAGAGAATGGTAAAACAGATTATGATACAACAGAATCATAGGTAGTCATTATAAGCAGATTTAAAGTATTTAATAACATGAAGAAATATTCAAGTTATAATGTTAAATGAAAAAAGAATACAAAGCTGTACATAAGTATGATTATATTACACTGAATTATATTAAAATAAGATGCAAATGCACCAAAACATTAACACTGTTGATCTCTGGGTGATGAGATTGTGGGTGAGTTTTGTTTCAGTGTTTATCTGTGTTAGGATGACAGGTGAGATATTAATTGCTCTTTACTACATGCTTTGTTTTTCTAGCATCAGCAAAATAGGACAATACCTGGGGCTTTAGAAATTGTCACCCATGAAAGATGCAAGAACAAAGGTATCAAAAGAAATGTGCCAAGTATAAGACAGAAATGGTCAGACTGGATGATCAGAGAGAACTTTCTGTTCTCTTCCTCTACCCTCAGATTGGGATGGCAATAGAACCACCCCCAGAACAGTGTGGGAGTCCTGGAGAAGAGCCTCCAGAAGAGCCTGGAACCTCGCTGCAGGGATAGGGAGGGGAGGGGACACACAGGTAGCACAGTGAATTATCACATGGCAGGGAGAAGCCCCCTGAGTAGCCGCCCTAGAGCAGTGGGGGGTGGAGGCCGGTGGGCTGTGACAGCAATGTCTAAACAGACAAGTTTGAAGGCAGCCTCAGGAAGCCCCCACAGCCTGGGAGGGCAAGCAGACAAATTCTGCCAAGCTTAAAGAGGCGGGTAGCTCTGGGACTTCCGTGGTTACCCAGTGGACTCTGCTTCCATTGCATGGGGCGTGGATTCTATCCCCAATCAGGGAAGTTCCACATGTTGCGAGGTGTGGCCAAAAAAATAAAACGAGGCGGGTAGCTCCCAACTAAGAAGTGACCTGTGGGCTAGACAGGGTGCCACAGCTTTGATAATATGACCCCTGATCATAGGATGTGGGAGGACTGTCTTTCTATGGATTAGATGGAGGAAAGCAGGCCACTAGCTCATGAGTGCATTTGTCTGAGGACCACATGAGACAGGCTACCTGGCAGAAGATGCCAAGGCAAAAGTAGATACCTCTTGACCTTGACAAAATCAGTATTTGCATAAATCTCCCCCTCTGCACTTCAGGCTTTCTTCTAACCTCATTAGGAGAAGAAGCATAATGGCAAACCTAAATTGGACTGGGTTTCAATCCAAGTACCTGGAAAGCTGGGTTGCCTGGAAGTGAGTAGATTCTATTTTCATGAAAGAAAGTTTAGAGTCAGAAATCCAACTGTGTTATGGAAAATAAAATTATATTGAACACAATTGAACTTATGATATCTCACTGCATATATTTTTTGTGATTTTCAAATTTTTAGTAATAACCATGTTTTGTATTTTAAAAGAAAAGCAGAACATGTGCAAAAAGTTTCTAATGAGTCAAGGCCCTGGAGGCAATGGGGGCACAAAGCTAATGGAAAGACCCCCAGTTCTAAGGCTTATCCTGAGGGATGACCAAAGAACCTGGGGTCCTGACCACACCTTCTAAGTCTCTGGAATTAAGGGTCTGTTTGTGAGCAGCTGGGAGCAAATGTGAAAACCATGCTTATACTGCCTACTACCTTCTCTACCCATCACAGGCTCCCCCCTTGCTTATCTCCCTCCTTACAGGAAGTCAATATTATTAAGCTTCTCTATAGAACAACCCCCCCCCCCCCGGCCTTTAAACCAAGTTTTGTTCTCTAAAGCAATAGCAAACAACAGAGCAAGTCCACCCACACACAATGATAACCTCTAAATATTTGGAAAACGTGTTGGTTTCCACGTTTCGGGCTTCTCTGCTCCAGGCTAAACCAAACTAAACCTCGGATGATGTTTTCCAAGGCTCTCACTATCCTGACCACCTCTCCTTGGAGGTCACACCTGAGATCGTCAGGGGCCACAACTGAGAGGCAGTGTCTGAGCCAATACTGTGAGCGCGTGCTCTGGCTGCCAAGACTCACTCTAGTTCTGCTAGTGCTCCAAAGGGCCCTACGGAGGCATCTGTGTCAGTGTCCTCACAGAGTCTCAGCCTGCAGTGCAGGATTCAAAGCCAGAGCTCTGCCAAGTGAGTGGCTGTTGGACCGGGGCTCCTCTCTGCTGCACTTGTCTACTGGCTGAGGGCACAGGCCACGGGCGCACGGGGTCACCGGTGACACTTGGTCACTGGTGCCAATCCAGTGGAACCCAGGGAACCCAGGGAACCCAGGGAACCCAGGTCAGGGTGCATCTGGGCAGTGTGTTGGCAGTCCGGTCTGGAGAGAAGGGGACATGGCAGTGGGGAAGCTCTGCAGGCCATAGCCCTCCCGGCCCTGCTACAGGAAGGGAGGAAGCTCTCTCCCCATTCCCCACTCCCGGCAGAAATCTCTCCCTTCCTTTCTTCTTTTCTCTAAGGATCTTATCCAAGATCTTGGCTTAGATCTTATCCAAGATCCCGTAACTTTCCCTCTTCACTCTAAATCATTGGTACCTTGGCTACATCTGTGGGCCTTGTTCTCCCTCCAGAAGAAGGTAATTATCCCTGACATGTGAAGATTTTAGTAAATTGCTGAGCATCCCTACTTTCCCCAACATGGACCCCATGTTGCCCTCAGCTCCCAATGGAGGGCATTCTCTCTGCTGCCAGAATCACAGCGCTCCAGGGCCGACCGTGCCAGCCCCTCGTCACCTTGGTGCTCACCTTGTCCTCTCAGCTGCCTCCTCTCTTTGCTGCTGTTACCATGTTCCAGGCCAACTCTGGAGCATCTCCCCAGCCCACCCCCCAACCTGCCCACATCGACCCCCAAGCAGCATTGACTTTGGCAGATTTCTTGGGGGCCAGCGATGTCATAACCTGTTTGCTTTTCCAGGACTGATGTTTGCAGGGGGCTTTTTTTTTTGGAACCAGAACAGAAATCATCCCATATCCTTACGCAATCTTTCCGCAGACTCCAACATATAAATAAAGCCTTTGGACACTCCACCAGTCAGAGCACCTGGGTTGGTCCGGAAGCCTCCAGCTGCCTGCCTGCTGACACACCAGGGCCTCTCTGAAGCCACCATGAAATCCTTCGTTCTGCTCTTTTGCCTGGCTCAGCTCTGGGGCTGCCACTCGATCCCGCTTGACCCGATTGCAGGTTATAAGGAACCGGCCTGTGATGACCCAGACACAGAGCAAGCAGCCTTGGCGGCCGTGGACTACATCAATAAGCACCTTCCTAGGGGCTACAAGCACACCTTGAACCAGATTGACAGTGTGAAGGTGTGGCCAAGGGTAAGTGAACCAGCCCTGCCAGGCGGGACAGGCTGGTGTGGGAGGCTCAGCTGGGTGTCTCTGAGAGCCTGCCTCCCAGAACAAAGGAAGCTGCATATCGAAAATGCCCTGATTCCTCCAAGGAGGGAGGGAGAGGGCAGGCTGAAGGAAGAGAGGAGACATTCTGTACTGTGGTCAGGGTCTCCAGGAGGGTGCTGGATGGGAGCAGGAGGTATGAGGAAAGGACAAGGCTTCAAATGGTATTTTGAAGGTCACAAGTAGAAAGTGTGACCTTCTAGAAAAACTAGAACCAGAGAAAGGATTCTGGCTGCCAAACTACCACTGGCCGGAAAACATTTCTTTTTCTCGGTTTCTGTTTCTCTGCATAAAGACTGAGTGTGAATGAAGCGCACATTTTTAAAGTGCCTATTATGTACCAGTCCCTTTCATATAGTTCATCTCTGTAACCCCTTCCCCGCTGCATCCCCAGTTCTGTGGGGGTACTGTCCTTGTCTTACATAAGAGATAACGAAGGCTCTGACATATTTAGGGCATTTTTTTTTTTTACCCAAGGTCAGAAGACAGTAAGCATCAGGCTAGGATTCTATTTCAGCACTGTATTCCTTCCTCTACACAAGCTGCTTTCCCAAGAAAGGTACCCACATCCCAGTGAGAAATCTTGGCTTGAAAGGATTCACCTCCTCACACCTCCTCACCTCTCTCTGGAGGAGAAAGCAATGCAGTCTGAAGCTGGTGACAACGATCAAACTGGGAAATGTGTCTTGGAGGTCAGCTGAGTGATTTGGAGAGGTGGGGAAAAGGCATCTGTTTACTGCCTATTTTGAAATTAGATTTTATAGCTGATGAAGGGTAATTCTTTCAGCCAACGCTGATTACAAGTCTTCCAGGACAAGAACCAGTGTCAAGTGCTATGGGACATGCTAAGTTGAATTAATGAAATAGCCAGCCTTGTATATTAAAAGCAGTCAGATATTTGCAAGAAGTCAGATAATGATTCAACCTAACACAAAGATGAGAAAGATATAATTAGTGCCACAGAAGATTCACAATCTAGGAAGGAAAATATGGCAAACTTCAGGACATCTGGACTGACTCACAGACCTCTGATCTTACAATAGGACAAAATATTTGAAATCAGGGTTGTCCCGGATGGAGTTTAGGAGTTATGCAATAGTGAAGTACAGTGGTGGTTCAGAGGAAGCAATGATCAGTTCAGGGGAAATAACACACAACCTGCATATTTGAGGGAAAGAAAGAACAATGTTGCAATGTTCACTTACAGCAGGGCTTGAGAACAAGCTGGAATGCTGGCTCCTATCACTAGCTCTGAGTGTTTTCAGGAAGTTAATTTGGTCACATCTGCACATCATAAAACAGGAAAGGAGATTCTGAGGTTTCAGGTACTAGTGACTCAGGCAGAACAGAAATGAGAGGCAAGCAGAGTTGGGCTGAAAGAAAAAAATAGGCATATGCGTACCTTCTGGATTTTCCGGTCTTTGAAGAAAGGATGCAGAAACAAGTGAACTGGCAGGGAAAACTCCAAGGAATCATCCAAGCTCCCCTGTTACTGCCTTGCCCACAACTCCTGTCCTCTGGGCAAATGAAGGACAGACACACTGCTTCCTCCAGCAGAGGAAGGATCACGCTTCCCCCTTACTACCAGCAGGGGACAGTAGGGAACAGCAACTTTGCATCCAGGCATCTAGGAGACAAAAAGCCACAGAGGACAACTTTTCCTTTAGGAAGGAAAAGAAAACAGGGAAGGAAGAAAGTAGGTGTTGAGAAGGAAGGAAGGAAGAAGTAAAGGGAGGGATAGAGAAGATAAAGGAGAGACAGTAAATTATTATCCCACACCACCTTACTTTGCTGCTTGACTGAGAAAAATCCCAAACCGACTTTTTCAAAGTAGGGCTTGAAGGGTAAGTACCGACACTCATTTTTGCCTTCCAAATACATCTGAGAGTGATGACTGTGGTTCCATCAACCTGTCCAAGCCCATGCCCGCTTCTTTCTTACGCTTCCAACAATGGGTGTGTTGACACCCAGTGGGGGCTCACCCGTGGACCCGCTCAGCAGGCTCAGGCTCACCTCTTCATCCTCTGTCTCCACAGAGGCCCACAGGAGAGGTATATGACATTGAAATAGACACCCTGGAAACCACCTGCCACGTGCTGGACCCCACGCCCCTGGCGAACTGCAGCGTGAGGCAGCAGACGGAGCACGTGAGTGGCCCTCTCAGGGCAACTGCGGGGTGGGGTGGGGTGATGCCCCAACTAAAACTGCCAGTCGATGTAGCCCTCCCTAGCGCCGATTTTTTACAATTCCCCTTTTTGTTGTACCCCGCCCCCCACAACTCCCCCGCAACCTCAGCAAAACCAGTGTCCTGTTTCAATATCACCAAGTGAAGGAGATTTTGTGAGGCTCGCCTTTGACGTCCACGCCTGAGAGACCACCCCCTCTTCCCCCCTAGCCCTGTCTTCCACCTTGAGAAGTGAAGATCAGCCCCCTGGGGTCCTCACTGTGGGTGTATTTCTCCAGGCGGTGGAAGGAGACTGCGATATCCACGTGCTGAAACAAGATGGCCAGTTTTCCGTGCTGTTTACAAAATGTGATTCCAGTCCAGGTAGAGTTGACTGTTCTTATTATGGTTACCCGGTAGAGAGTGAGGAAGGGACCTGAATTGTTTTCAACAGAAGCAGATCTAGCCACTTTATTGGTGATGGAAAGGGGAAGCCAAATTTCCTTGAGTTTGGGGATTTTAAAACTGTTTTTTTAAGGAATTATTCTGCTTGGAGGTTGGAAATCGCCCCTTGGTGAGAGGAGCTCCTGCAAAAATGCCAGCACGCCAGGGGCCACCGGAGGGTTTAAGTAAGAAGCAGAGAATCAGCCTGTAACTGTTCGGAGCCTGTCTTAGCCCTCTCAAATAAGCAGAGCGGGGACTAATGCCACTGAGAATTCCAGGCCCCAACCGGGTTACTTCTGTGCGCAGACTCCGCCGAGGACGTGCGCAAGTTGTGCCCAGACTGCCCCCTGCTGGCCCCGCTCAACGACAGCCGGGTGGTGCACGCAGTAGAGGTCGCGCTGGCTACCTTCAATGCCCAGAATAACGGCTCCTACTTTCAGCTGGTGGAAATTTCTCGGGCTCAATTTGTGGTAAGACTGAGACCCTGCTGACGTATTGGGCAGGTTGGTGGCACTCTGGGGTGTGGACGTGGTGAAGCAAGTGTGAGGGAGGGAGCAAGTGCAGCCACAGTAAGTCAAGGAGGGTGGTGGGAGAAAAGGGAAAGAAACGGTCCTGACTGTCCTGGACCCAGAGGACCCTGACCGCACCCCCCCACGTAAGCCACTTCAACATAAAATAGTCAGAGTCTGCGTGTCTGTTCAGGCTGTGTTCCTCGGTTTTAGTTAACACCAGGGTGGGAATTCCCATTTTATCCAGAAGCACACACTGTAGATTCATGGGTCTCCACATCACCATCACCCATCACCACTGAACATCTGCTCTTGTAAGTGTCAGCTCTTGTAATTGATACTGACAAAGGCATGGGCATACTTATGTATAATGGCAGAATCTTAAAATGCCATGGAATCACTGAAAAAACAACAACAACAACTAATTGTCCTGTGGTTAGGTTAGCACATTTGAACACAATATAATTCTAATATTTAAAAAAACACAAAAACTGGTATTCTGGATGCCAGCCATGGCATACTTGGAAATACACTGTAGGTAGTAATTCTATTAACCAAAATATGTGATTCTAGAACCTCCACCTCAGACTATAACAAGAGATATTTTATTATTTTAAGTGTCCTTATGCTCCAAGAACAATGAGATAGAAAAGCATAAATATCTTCTGCACTTCCAGTTATCTTTTTCATTTGATCCTGCTATCTAAAATATGTGGGAGAGGAATTAATTACTTTCCCATCCCATCTTGGAATAACCTGAACCTTGGGTCTCAAAGTGCAACCCCAATACGGAAATTGGCAGAAGGCAGGGTTCCTACCCAGATCAGTGTCAGGTCAGCCCTCTGGGTTCCTGCTTTCTACTGGAAAACTTGCCTTTGCTCTGGAAGGATGGGCAGTGGATACCTGCACCTACTTCAGGGAACACCCAAACCCCAGCTTCTGTATGCAAGCCCTTAAAACCCACTGCCACCATGTGAGCCCTGTGTAAGCCACCAGGGGCATGTTTCCTGGCCACACAGTGCGGTCTACATGAGTGGTGCTCCCTGGACTATGTATTGCCATGGCCCTCACTACTTCCCTCTGGGCTCTCCTTCCCTGCCTTTCTCATGCTGTCGTGTTGCTCCATGAAAATGTTCATATATCCTCATCAGCCTCTTTCAGCTTCTGTCTCTGTGGAGTTTGCAGTGGCTGCTACTGACTGTATTGCTAAAGATGTCGTAGATCCAACCAAGTGCAACCTGCTGGCAGAAAAGGTGAGCGGGCCAGGCACTGAATCGGCAAAGCTGGTCATGGAACAGAGCCCTCTTTAGAGCAAGTTTATATCTTGGGGCTATGGAAAGAGATAATGCAAAATACCCATGCCCTGTGAGGCTGGGTCATGCCAGGTCATCCCTTGGGGTGTCATCTCCCCTGCTTAAGAGCTATCACCAGATCTTCTCATCTGCTGGAGGCCCCGGGAGTTAGAGAGTCTATTTCCTAACTAATATGAGTCATGTCAGGCTGCTGGAAGTATAAAGTGTAGATTTTCTAGATATACCTCAGGTATGCAACCTAAGTCCTTAAGCCAGTAATGTCTACTTCTAGGAATTTAGCCTAAAGATATCAGCCTGTTTGACAAAATATATCTATAAAGATGATTTATGACAGATTCAAAATGACCCCAAACATCTGAATGTCCAACAAAAATCGTTGAATAAAATACGACATGTTAGTAAACAGAAAATTATAGACCCAGAAATTATGTTTTCAAAGAATAATGAATAAGAGACTGCTACCATTATAGCATGTGAAAAACACAGTCTCCAAAATGGTATAGTCACAATCATGTCAACTTTTAAATGATATCTAATCGTATTTAAAAATAAAGAAATACATAGAGGTTAACAGAAGTTCTTCTGAGTCACCACAATTTCTGAGATTATGGGTGAGCTCTCTCACTCCCAAAACATTTCTGTATTTTCTACATTCTATATAAAATATAAGCAGAAAGCATAAACTTTAGGAAAAAAGTTTTTTTAAAAAAACAAAAAACGAAAAGACAGGAATTAAGAATTTAAGCGTCTTACCCTGGATGTGTTGAGTATAAGTGAAACTGGGTGAGAAGTCCAATTTTTGAACCTGTTCAAATAACTCTTCTCTTTCTGTGGGCAGCAATATGGCTTCTGTAAGGGGTCACTCATTCAGAAAGCTGTTGGTGGGGAAGACGTCGCAGTGACTTGCACAGTATTCCAAACGCAGGTAAGAGCCCCATAGATGTACTGGCCCTGTTTTTCAGAATCCAATGACCCCTTTGAATTTCTGCCATGCAGTAGTAATCAGGGCATTAGCTGCCTGTTCTTCTGAGCCCCACAACATAGATAGTGCCAGGAATGTGAAATCATCAGTAAATGAAAGGTTTCATTCATGCCCTCCCCTTCCAGGAACTGGTACTTACAGGGCAGAACCACCCCCAGGTGCAGTTGGCAAGGTCATGTTTCTAGCTGCCGCCTCGGGGAGTGAGTGGGATGTGTGGGAGTGGTTTTCTGAGTTGCAGAGACTAGGCGGGTAGATCTGCCTGCTAGCTAGCTCCCTGTAACTGCGGGTGTAGATGAAAAAGAGGGTGACGCTGCTGGTGCAAGTTAGCCATAAGGTGGGGTTCTTTTGCTCCTGAAACGTGAGTGTAAGTCTACCAACCCAAAACAGCTGGTGAGAAAGGGAACGGCGCAAGCCAGTTACCCCTCCCCTGGAGCCCTGTGACTATGCTTTGTACCTAGGTAGTTCTTCTTGGCCAGATTCCTTACACATAAAAATTATTACTGTGAGAGAATTGGGTGGGGATTTCCCCTGGAAGGAGGAGAAAGGCAGCTAACCTAAAGAAATGGTCCTCTCTCCAGCCTGTGATTCCGCAGCCCCAGCCCGACGGCGCGGAAGCTGTGGCCCCGAGCGCCGTGCCGGACGCAGCCGCCCCTGCGCCTTCTGCAGCGGGGCCGCCCGTGGCCTCCGTGGTGGCGGGGCCGAGCGTGGTGGCCGTGCCCCTGCCTCTGCATCGGGCACACTATGATCTGCGCCACACTTTCTCCGGTGTTGCCTCAGTGGAGTCAGCCTCGGGAGAAGCGTTCCGCGTGGGGAAAACACCCGTAGGGGGGCAGCCTGGCGTTCCTGGTGGTCCAGTCCGCCTTTGCCCAGGCAGAATCAGATACTTCAAGATCTAGAAGATTGTTGGAGATGAGACGGTTTGGCACAGAGAATACAGCTATCATTTTGTCCAAGTATGGGTATGGGTAGGGGCTTTGTCTGCTCTGGAAGCAAGTGCTGCCTGTGGCCTAGATGAATGTCAGCTCTTGAGTCCCAACTTCTCATCCTTCCAAGGATAGGAGCAGAGGAGGTGCTAGTGATGTCTGATGGAACGTAAAGTCAGCAGCTTGATGGTCATTGCTTTGATGTAAGCCTCCACCACTGTGTTCTCTGCCTTCTCCTTCTTGACCTCACAAAAATAATTGGAACTGTGACTTTGAAAGGTGCTCTTGCCAAGTTTATATCTACTTGTCATTAAAAATGCTCTAATAAAGAAGGTTCTAAGCTGAGATGTTGTCGTGATTGTTGCCTACTTCATCCAATCTCATGTGTGTGGTCTTTCCAGCAACCCTACCACGTGTCCCTAATCAAAATCAAAGTGAAAGTAGGAATAAAATAGAACAAAACCTCCTATATACATAGGAAAAAGTGAGACCAGGATCTGCTCACAACCTATATGATCTGATAATTTCCTTATAAGAAAATAATTCTTTCATTTCATAATGGTCAGAAAATATTGCTAAATTAGGACCAAGTGCTTAAACTTTGTACAGACAAACCAACCATTGGTTTTCCCCAATTCCCAGGTAAGGAAAGGTTAGTAATTAGCACCGGAGCCTCACTTTAATTATACCTGTTGATTGTACTATATGTGTATATAGTAAGAAAGAAACAAAGTGAAGTTGCTCAGTTGTGTCCAACTCTTTGTGACCCCGTAGACTGTAGCCTCCTAGGCTCCTCTGTCCATGGGATTCTCCAGGCAAGAATACTGGAGTGGGTTGCCATTTCCTTCTCCAGGGGATCCTCCCGACCCAGGGATCGAACCCAGGTCTCCCACATTGCAGGGAGACGCTTTATCCTCTGAGCCACCAGACAAGTATACATATAGTACTATATACTAAAGTGGATTCTAGCCAATCCATTTTAAGGCCTCAAGTTTAAGCTCTGGTTTATAGTATGAATAGAAGAGGGATACCTCCAGTGGTAAATCCAGTGGACATTTGTGGATACTATCCAAGTGCTCAGAGAGCATAAAGAAATAAATAGTTCCCATTATAGAGTGGTGCCTAGACAATTTCAATGTTTATCCACTAGCATTAGGTTGTTCTGAGCAACCTAAGTGATGGGCCCTTTCTTATGAAATTTTAAAGGATTGGGACTAATAACCAATTGAGTGGTTTCACTCGACCCCAGAAGACTGAATCAAGCATTGACACTCACCTTATCACTCTTGCCTGGAGGTTTTGCCAACATTCCAGTAACCAGAAAGAATGGCCAGGAAGGTAGGAAAACCATTAGGTGCCTCAGAAGCCAGGGAAGATGAGGCAGGCATGATCAGCTGAGCTAAATGCTACAGAAAGAACAATAAACATGAGGACCAAGAAAAGGCCATGGGTTAGCTGACTGACTTGGAGGTGATGGTGACCACTGGCAGATACAGTTTCAAGAAGGTTGAGTATGAAAGCCTGGTGGCGGCATTGAAGATGCCTGGTGGAAGATGATGAGAAAATGGAGAGGAGTGTGTAATCTCTTTCAAGCAGTTTGATGGTGAAGGTGGGGGAGAGAGAGAGGATGTAATCTTAAAGGATTGATTTTGCACAGACACAGTGGAGAGCAACATCTTGCAGCAAGACCTTCATTCCCTGACCAGGGATGGAAACTTGGGTTCAGCAGTGAGAGCACAAAGTCCTAAGCACTAGACCAGGAGGGACTGGGGCTAAGACTCTGGACCCCAGTTCTTGCTGCCTAGAGAAAAAAAAATTGCTAAGGAGACAGCAGTTAGAAAGGAAAGTAAGACATGTACTAGAAAAGCAGAACACATGCAGAGAGACTCACAGGAGAGCTCAAAGAGAGTCACAGCTTGGGAAGTTCAAATCATTTACATGGGGGCAGTCTTCCTGGTCTTTGTTTTCCTCTGACCCTACAGCTGATTTGTCTCAGGGTCCTCCCCTGTGTGCACATACATCCTTTAGCCAAAATGGAATTTAGCACGAGGGTCCCTGGGAAGTTAGCAAAGCGTACAGTCTGGCACCCTCTTCCTTTTTGACCGCCGAGGAGCCTTTCTGTGCATGTTCAGTTGAGGTCTTTCTGATTCTAAGGATGGGAAATATGTGAGCTCCTGATCTTTTACCCAAGCAGGGCTTAGTCCCTCTCTGCCCCTGCCATTGTTGGGCTATTATCTTAAAGTGCCCACAGGAGACAAAGTCCGGCTATTTACCCTGTTTCTCTTGTTATTTCTGGACATCCTGGAATGCGAAGTCAAGTGGGCCTTAGAAAACATCACTGTGAATAAAACTAGTAGAGGTGATGGAATTCAAGTTGAGCTATTTCAAATCCTGAAAGATGATGCTGTGAAAGTGCTGCACTCAATATGCCAGCAAATTTGGAAAACTCAGCAGTGGCCACAGGACTGGAAAAGGTCAGTTCTCATTCCAATCCCAAAGAAAGGCAATGCCAAAGAATGCTCAAACTACTGCACAATTGCACTCATCTCACACGCTAGTAAAGTAATCCTCAAAATTCTCCAAGCCAGGCTTCAACAGTACGTGAACCGTGAGCTTCCAGATGTTCAAGCTGCTTTTAGAAAAGGCAGAGGAACCAGAGATTAAATTGCCAACATCTGCTGGATCATTGAAAAAGCAAGAGAGCTCCAGAAAACCATCTATTTCTGCTTTATTGTCTATGCCAAAGTCTTCGACTGCGTGGATCACAATAAACTGTGGAAAATTCTGAAAGAGTTGGGAATACAGACCTCCTGACCTGCCTCTTGAGAAATCTATGCGCAGGTCAGGAAGCAACAGTTAGAACTGGACATGAAACAACAGACTGGCTCCAAATTGGGAAAGGAGTATGTCAAGGCTGTATATTGTCACCCTGCTTATTTAACTTATATGCAGAGTACATCATGAGAAACACTGGACTGGAGGAAGCACAAGCTGGAATCAAGATTGCTGGGAGAAATATCAATAACCTCAGATATACAGATGACACCACCCCTATGGCAGCAAGTGAAGAAGAACTAAAGAGCCTCTTGATGAAAGTGAAAGAGTTGAAGAAGAGTGAAAAAGTTGGTTTAAAGCTCAACATTCAGAAAACTAAGATCATGGAATCTAGTACCATCACGGCATCTAGTACCATCACTTCACAGAAAATAGATGGGGAGACAGTGGAAACAGTGTCAGACTTTGTTTTTTGGGGTTCCAAAATCACTGTAGATGGTGACTGCAGCCATGAAATTAAAAGACGTTTGCCCTTGGAAGAAAAGTTATGACCAACCTAGATAGCATGTTAAAAAGCAGAAACATTACTTTGCCAACAAAGGTCTGTCTAGTTAAAGCTGTGATTTTTCCAGTAGTCATGTATGGATGTAAGAGTTGGACTATAAAGAAAGCTGAGCACTGCAGAATTGATGCTTTTGAACTGTGGTGTTGGAGAAGATGCTTGAGAGTCCCTTGGACTGCAAGGAGATCCAACCAGTCCATCCTAAAGGAAATCAGTCCTGAATATTCCCTGAAAGGACTGATGTTGAAGTTGAAACTCCAATACTTTGGCCACCTGACGTAAAGAACTGACTCATTTGAAAAGACCCTGATGCTGGGAAAGATTGAAGGTGGGAGGAGAAGGGGAGAACAGAGGATGAGTTGGTTGGATGGCATCACCGACTCAATGGACATGAGTTTGAGTAAATGCTGGGAGTTGGTGATGGACAGGGAGGCCTGGTGTGCTGCAGTTCATGGGGCCGCAAAGGGTTGGACACGACTGAGTGACTGAACTGAACTTGTTATTTCTATCTGGAAGCATAAAAAGGAGGCTGGTTGCAAAAATGTCTAGCCTGGAACCTATCTGTTCTCCTGCTTCAGGATAGATTAGAAGGTAGAGGGACGATTTCTTTTCCAGGAGAGAAGAGCTTTGAGTGTCTTTAGGGCAAAGGATAGGAAGAGATGGAAGAAGAGAGAGAGAAAGGATATAATAGGACAGGGGCAGAGGCAATATTTAGTGAAGAACTGGAAATGGTTTGGGCAACTCTGCCAAAGAGACTAGTCCTTCTTTGAGGGAGTTTCAAGGGAATTCTGAAAATTTCACCTTTAACCCAGTACTAAAAGAGACTCATTTGCTTTCTACCCTTGCTATACTCGAGTGTGGCTATGAGGGAACATGGAGTATTAGAGTGTTTTCCTTGGCAGGTGGTAGATACCCAATCCAAAGCAGCTTAAGTAAAAAGAGAAATGTCACCCCCTCATGTGCTGGGAATTGAAATGGGTGAGTCTTACCTAGGGCACCATAAAATCCAGGAATCATTTCCCTTCTCTCTTTCTTTCTCCCCCTCACCTTTCCTCCTCCCCTCCCTCCCTCCTTCCTTTTCTCTTTCTGTCATCAGTGCTTGCCTTCAGTCTTAGCCAGGATAGCCACTGGCAGCCTCACCTTCATAAGTATTAGTGCCTAACCCTGCAGAGAAAGAGAAGAGCTACTCTAAAGGTGACAAGGGAGAGGCTTCCCAGGGGAATAGCAGGCACGGAGGCCTAGAGGCAGAAAATATGTTGATGTAGCTAAGGGCGAGAAAGGAAGCTGGACTGAAGCAGCTAAGAGGAGAAAAAGGACAGCTTTAGAAGATGAGATTGAAGAAGTAGGTGAAGGCAGGTCGTGAACAGCCTTGAAGTCCCCTAGAAGAAATTAGGATTGTATTGAAAAAAATCAGTGCAATGGGAAACCATTAAAGGTTTTAAGCAGGGCAGTGGCATAATCTGATTTACCTTAAGAGATCAACCAGGCACCATGGTTCTAGACCTGGGATGAGGAAAGGTAGGGTGAAGCAGTATTATTCCCTCCCACGCCCCCCACCTGGGGACATTTGGAAGTAACTGGAGACAATTACTTGGGATGGTACTGGACAGAGACTAGGGATGCTAAACATTTTGAA